TTTTTTTTTTTTTTTCTTTTTCGGTAGAGATATATCGAGAATAACGACTCGTGGAGAAAGATTATAGTACATACGGCCACGATACTTAATTTGATAAATAACTAAAAAGTGTAATCGAGGATAATATAGTTATGACACGTTCCGTGGCAAGCCATTTTTGCCTTTTGTTGTCGTTCAGGCCATTTGGTTTGACTAAAGGTTGATATATTATCACACAATCTTTCATTACATCATCAATCCTAAAGGTTGATATGTTATCACACAATCTTTCATTACATCATCAATCGATAATGTAGTTCTCTTGTTTAGAGTAGCTATTACCACATCGTGTACCACTTGTGGTAATATTATTAGAAATATGGTGGTACATGTGGCCTGAAGATCAGGTTTAACGTGTACCACCGGTGGTACACATGGCACGGAACGTGTTGTTAACGCGATTTTCTGTTGCAACGCAAAAAGTTAAAAGAAGCAGAACCCTCGAGAGTACCATATGAAGTATATTATATCTAGGTATCTACTGAAGTTTTAGTAAAGTCGAGCTAACTCTAATAAAAAATAGTCGACGGGATTCGACCTAAAAGCTTCACTTGGAAACAAACTCTGAGCTTTCCCGAAGATAAAACACACCGAAGTGAGGAGGATTTCAAATGGAACGTGACTTTTCTCCCCGCGTGGAGGTGTAATTTAAAAAGGGGATCCCCCATCATCAGCTACCATCATTGACCTTTCCGTGAGCAAACACTCTGGCTCGAACATCTTGCAAACACTTATCAGATATTAAGTTTCTTCATCTCTCGAGCAACTGACAAGAAGACTTTCGAAATTTCAGTCTTCTTCTTGTTGATCTTCCAAAGCTCAACGTTACACGGTGAAACTTTCAATGCTCGTCGAAAAGATAAATAAATAAATCTTGGTCGAAAAAAAGAAAAAAGAAAGAATCAACTTGTATTGGAAAAGTCAAAGCTTGAAGATATCTTATTTGATCTTCTTCTTATTCTTCCAATTTATTTATTACAGCCTGGAGGGACGACCAAGAGAAATTAAAAACTTTCACTATATATATATATATAGATTCTTAATTAATTAAACTTAATACCTCGTTCTTTGGTGCCGCGAACGGTTCGTACGAGAACCTCCTTGTCGTCTTCCTCCCAGAGATCAGATTCCGCCCTGACAGTGACGATGACCATCAACAGGGCGATACCGACCAGCGCCAAACTCCAACACAGCTTCATTCTGCGAAATAAAAAGAGGAAGAAAAGTTAAGAAAAAAAAGATGAAACGAACGTCTCGTTAATCTACTGCCTTTAATCAGCGTCGTTTTAATTATTACAGAGCATCGAGAAAGTAAAAGATCTACGTTCCACCGGAAATGGAAGATGGCCGGACCCGAAATATGGAAGCGTCGTAAAAACATGGTTGTTCAAGAATTTTCGAAAAAATTGAATGTATCTTGAAACGATCGGATCTTCACATTTCAATGAGTACTCTCGTTTTAGAGAAAGACAGAAAGCAATTTTCGAGATATTTCAGGATGTGTAATAACAATTTTTTGTCAGACTCTTGTTCACTCTTGAGATGTTCTTCAACGCTAGGAAAGTTCGGTTCCTAACAATCGATTCGAAAATTAGGATCAAGAGTGACAGATATTTTGAGAAAAAATATCCTCGACCCAAGAGTGCCTCCAAAATTTATGATTAACATAAAATTCAAAGGAACGACGCTTTCGTTCCCTCTTTTCCCCCTGTTTTTCGTTTTCACACAAACGTTCACCGACACACACCGGGGACTTCGGACGTTATTTTTTCCTTCTGTCGGTGGCGCGTTCGAAAATTTACGGGTCAATTCGCTCGCGCGAGATTGGAAAGAACTAACGTTTTCACTGTTACAGAATTCTCGTTGGTTTGTCAGTCAGACGACCATCGGGAAAGCCAAAGTTTCCTTGTTTCCACACAGGTTGATCATTCTTTCACATTTTGTTTCGCAGATCGTTGACGGACAGATTTGTGTATGATAATGTAGGATAAAAAAGCGTGTATAAATCGACTGCTTCAAACTTACAAGTTTTATGTTCCAATAAGAACATAAAAATTGAAATACGATAGAATTTTGGAAATTGCTCTCGTTTCAATCAAACAAGCAAACAAGAATCTTAATACGATCTTGACGTAGCAACGAGATAAATAACACTGATGTCACAACTTACACATTGAACAATATTTCATACGAAATAACAATATTTTGTTTCGCAGATGTTCTCGTTACTGGAGCGAAGATAATTGCTCGGTTTATCCCCCCAGCGATAAGTCACGTCTAAAAACGTCGGTCAAACAAGAGCGGTTGTTTGCAACATCGTTGAAAAAGTTTTCATCCATTTGTCCCTCGTACCCC